GTCGATGTGCTCTTGTTAAATTCCCAGTGTTCACTGTCAAATGCCACCAGGAAAAAAAAAGATAAGTTGGGTTATGGTTTGAATCCAAGCTGAGTCTGTGTAGGTATATTAAATCATGCTAAGAATTTATATAAGAACAATATACCCTGCTCCACCAAAGCTGTCTCTACAAGAGCTACGTTTTTGGAAACTAGTAGTTTTAAAGACAGATTGAACAAAACAGTAGTAATTTGCAGCTGAGGTCTTTCATCAATCTGGAATTATTCTAACTGTATCAACTCTTTGGGTGCTATAAATCAGTTCTTAGTCCTTCTCTGTAGCTGAGCTCAAAATGAGAAAGACTACTTGTAAATTTTTTTTTTTTTTTTTTAAAGTTTCAGACTTGGGACTCAGCAGGATCTTGACACTGCACTATTTATAAAAGAGTAATTGTGGTTAGATTTCATAATATAAGAGCTTGTGTTGGGAGGGGAACCAAAGCAAGGTATGTGTGTGTGGTGCTCCCTGGATCCCAGAAAAACGTCTGCTTTGAGCTGCTTTTTCAACTATGTTGCCACTCTGCTGTGAATGGAAAAAAAAGCACAAAATGTGCTCTAGTCTGGATTTGGCCGTGGTGTTTCTCTCTCTCAGGAACTCAGCTGGCCTTGCACGTCTTGAGAGTGGAGACACACAGCTTTTGCTGGGCTCTCCAAAAAGCTGAAGCAGGTTGTGTTTGTGGATTTTTAAAAGCCGTGGTTGTTGTCCCAAGACAGCTGGGCCCTGCACAGAGAATTTTCCATCTTAAGTCCTGACCTAGTCTGCTCAGAGCTCTGTAAGTGAATCATTTGCTGCCTGTCTGGGTAGGGGAGGGACTCATGGTATTGAACTTGAGTCATCCAAGGTAGATGGTCACACTTGAAGTGTGGCCTTTCCCTGTGGGTAATGGTAAGAAGCAGTAAGTCAAGACTCCGATGTCGAATCACCGGTTGGAAGAACTGCCCTCTTTCTCTTGTGAACCTAAACATTTCTATATCTGACATGGGGTTTCCTGTGTGACAGGGCTCAGCAGCATAGTCCTAAATGCAGACCTGTGCATCAACATCCTGGCTGCGCCCACTGTGGGTTGTTTTCGGAACGGTTATCCCATCTGCTCTGTGTTTACTTGCATGTGGAATGGTGTTTGCACAAAAAGGAAAGCTGTGGGTATTTGAAAATAGCATGAGATCAAATTCTAGTTTTCTAAAAGACAGGTAGGGAGAAGAGAAGGGGTAGATGTGTCATCTTAGGAGCAATAATGTGCATGCAAGCTGGTGTGTTTATATTTATGCAAGGAGCTATTCCCTGAGGTGCCTGCCTTGTCTGACTGTATGTCTAATATAATTCCCTTAAGGCTGACCTCTGCTTTCAGCACAGAACACTGCGAGATTACTGCTGTAGCTGAAATATTTCATGCATCTAAGTGTCCCTCTTGCAGAGAAATTTGCTGAGCACGTTCTCACTGTGGGAATGTTCCCAACTCTTTCAATTGTTAAAAAGATATACTGCTTCCCTCATACTTAGATCATCCTTTGGCCCATGTAGGACTGTTATTACTTGACTTCCTAAATTTAGCAACATTAGGCACATAAAAAAATTAATTTAGTGTCCTGCAAAACTGCCACTCAAAGTGAGAAAAAAAGATATTTTTCTCTCCTTCATAATAGGAACTTTCTGTTTGAAAGA